ATCTTCAAATTAAATTTAGCAATAAATTTAGTTCCTATGTCTATTATTATTTGTCAAAAAATTATAATCAACAGAACGTCGTGTGTAGTTTCAATCAACTCGTGTGTTCTACTAGAGCGGGTTAATATCATGCGAAATGGGAGTTCGCGGACCGTTTAACGTAATGTAACGGCTGATTCCGCTTATAGAACAAACGGCAATCAGGATTCTAATGCGTAACCCTCGTACGACCGACGTCTGCATCTTGCAATTCTTTTTCCAACAGAGAAGTTTGTAATCGAAGAGCTGGATAATAAGGAAAAACCATTTAATTGAAATTAAATTTCATCGTATTTTATTAAATTTTGAAAGGGCGCAACACAAAAAATTTGGAGCAATTATATTGTGAAAACCAAACATTATTATGTACGGAAATAAATGGCCGGCTACAGCACATTGAAAAATATTGTTTAGAAAGTAAACATTTCAAATAGGATAGGGCGGGGCACAAAGGTCCAAGTTGACTTTGAACGATCATATTGTGAAAACCAAACCAATTCTGTCACATACCAATGAAGCAACTATTTGACTAAGTTCAGTAAAACTCCCAGCTAATTTAATGTAGTAGAAATTTGTTTTTTGCTGTTTTTCAAAAATTTGTCACCAGGTCCGTTTTACCCCATTGCCGGGGTACATTGGGACAGCCAGTACGCAAACAGGTCTAATGTCTTATGGTAAAAACCTTAGATATGATATAAATTAATAACGTGATGTTTTATATAAGCATACACGTTGTATATATAATTTTCAGATGTTATTTCGAGCGAAGATTCAATTAAAACCAATACTTTTTGATAACCCGGTACAATCCGGGAACAAATATTAGTTTTAGAAAAACCCGGAACACAAGGTGGAATCCGGGACGTATGGTCACCTTACTTTTCTAGAAGTTATATAAAAAAATCTGATTAGTTTAACTTAAAATTAACAATACATCCTATAGAACAATTAAGTAACTTATACTTTAAATTATATTAAGGTCTCTTAAACTAACCAACAGAGCTCACAACCAAAAAAAACTAACAACGAAAGAAAATACTTTTGTTATGAATTTTCAGTTATTGTCGTTTGTCAACCGATAGCAACGTCGTAAGAATTATAGTGGCTGGTTATACATATCTTTTCCTCTACTTTCAAATATTGTTGTTAAAAAATTCTTAAGATTACTTGTTTTTGAGGTATCGGTAGTGGAAATTTTTACCCGCCGACCTTTAAGCTACGCTGTACCCTATTTCAAATATCTTATTAGATTTTATTGATTTTGACATATTTCTTTTTAATTTTTGTACCTGCATACAATTTATATACCATACTATTCAATGTTCTATCGAATAAGTTAGTATTCCCAATCAATGTTTTTCACAATCGGTACTTCTTTTATGGAAGTCCAGCATATTATTATTACGGGCATGCCACTGCAGATATAAATTGTTTTTAACGCATTGTTAATATGTTTACTATTTATTACATATTACATACTCATCACTACTATTTACATATTACATGTTTACTTCTCTATTACATATTTAAATTTTCTTCATACACTCCGAAAGTTAAGTTAAACTGCAACCTTATGATGGAAGTGCAGTGTGGACAATTCAATTCTATTCAACGTACTACATGTTATCATGTTGATTTTGAGTATATTGACTTTACACATATGTATTTTGTTGATAATAAAAATTTATCAATCAATTTTTATACACAGTACCAGGATTCTATCCAAGTACTCAAGTATACGTAGTTGCCCACTGCACATTCGTCGGTGGGTTGGAAGCTGTATTCCTCCACTTGGTAAAAGTATGCAACGAAGAGTGTCGGTTCGTTTTTTAGTTTTAAAAATCCGCCAGCCCTCTGACTATAATACAAACTGCTGAGAGTTAGTGTGTTTACCACCGCCAGTGAAGAACGTAATTATAAAATGTCATTGATATGATAGATTTATGGGCTCGCGTCTACGGGACCGCATTCGCCATCTCCTCGCCTCCTATGAGGCGTTTTCAAAACCGCGTGTTATGAAGGCGAATCCGTTTGATGTATTTATTGCATAGTCTTCTGACGTGTCCGAATTACCACCGCCGAGGATAAATTATGAATACAAATGCGCACAAACATGCCGACATCGCAGAAGTTGCGATTTTAATTTTGGCACTGGGTCCTGAGAGTATTATTGAAATAATTACTCTAGAATAGATTGATAAATGCTGCAAACCACAGAAGTTAATGTGTCAAAATAAGAAAAATATCCTACCTCAATTTTTATGAGAGAGTCTAAGAAGACGGATTGCACTGTATTCTTACTACTTGGTTAAAAGTTAATCGTTATTCCAGTATTTATCACCTTACCATAAGCCTACCAGTAATTATTACTTTACATCATGAATTGCAACGCTCAAATACTTGCATTTTATGTTTTTATTCAATCAAACTTTATTCAGTTTTTTTCAGATTTTTTTAATTCTAATAATCACCATCCCAGCTTGATGGTCACTTGAAACCAACACGAAGAATTCACAATTTTATTTAAAAGTAAATTTATTTCTTGTCAAGACTTTTGTGGTATAACTTCGCTTCTTCTATTTATTTGAATCTCTTCAATTTCATTCGCAACATTCCAATGATTAGATAGATTTTTCCATTTTTTTCCAGTTTTTGGTCTCCAACTCATAAAAGTTATTTCCTCCTGCTCTATAATTGACTATAATATAAAAAAATTAAATGGTGTGTTTCGATTGCCAAAATATTTAAATTTGCTAAGTATAATTAACAATAATAAATGGTTTATTACTGGCAACCCAAAATCATTTTTGGTTGAACAACACAACAAAATAATTTGAATCCAAAACAGATCTAAAATTCAAATATTGCTCGTCATTTGTATTTCAAGTCTAAATTTATAGAATATATATGTACATATATATTACATCAATCACATTGTTGCATACTATTAATAATTTCCAATTTCATTAAAAGAAAATCCTATTAGAGTGTTCAAATTAGATTCACATGCTGTTCATACATTATATCAAAATTTGGATTAGATTCAAATGAGCCAAGGTAATAAATAACTATCATTAAATATCTTTGCTGTTAAATCAGCCGTTAAGTATAGATAGAGTAATCAGTAAATGTAATGCAAATAATACATAACCTTTATTATAATTATATATAATTAGTATGTCAGCGATTTTCTCTGCAATACATCACATAGAAAAGTTACAACAGCTTTTCTGATTACAAATTAGTGATTAGTTCTATATAATAATATTTCCACTTCGCACAGCAATTTATAAAGCTTGATTACATGCTATCTATTTTCTTGATCATTTGATCATTAACTTTATATTTACTCTAAAATATAGTAATATTAACTATGTAATATACTCTCTTACAGTATATAACATTAATTTTATTTGAAGCGAAAGTAGCATATAAAAACCAGTTTTAAAAAACGCAATAGTAATAAATGAAAATATAATAAGAACGTAAATAATGTGATATTATAATTCATAATTTCAATTCCATTAAATTTTCCAAATTCCATTCAATTCAATTATTATTTCATTATTTATCTTCTTGAAATTATGAGGTGCATTTGTAGATAGTCACAGAAACGAAAATCCTAAAATTAGACACTTTTTCTACAAAACAGTAATACAGGCGAAATTTAAAGAATTGACAGAAAAAAAACATTGGAAACATTGCAAATTTCATATGTGACATAAATACATCTTCATTAAACATTAAAAATTATTACTTGGCTAGTTTTAGAAAAAAATACTGCAGGCAACTGCATAAGATATTTACATAAATCCAATGTGAATCCAACTCCTTCATCAAGTTTTCTCTTAAGAAACAAAATCGGACAAAAAGTATAATATAAAGTTTTATGTTCATTCTCAAAATATATAGTTTTTAAAAATCTGATTTGTTTGTTTTTGTTTTCTACATCATTTGTGGGCAACATTTGGCTAGTTACTTAAAGTTTTAATCATTGTATTATTTGATTGAAAACCACAGAGGATATGAAAATAACTTTTGGCGCATATACAAAACTAGAGAAGACAATTGAATTCGAGAGATTAAAAATACATTTATAAACTACGATAAATTTTATTAAATCTTAGAAAATTTTGCAACAACTTGGGTAATAATAATGGGTAGTACTGCACTAGGGCAGGTCCGTGAGCTGAGTTAAACTCCAACTCGATTCAGAAGAGTGTGAAAGATTTTCTATTGCCATTTCACAACGCCGTGCCCAAAATAGGCGTTTGCCTATTTATTTCTATTCTATTTTCTGTTTATTTTTGTTTCATTTTATACCTAATAATATCTAATAATATCTATCTATTATTATCAAATTATAATGCTATCACTTCTTTAATATTGTTAACAATACTACTCACTCTTAATCTCACTCTAATATAACAGATTGCAGAATAAAATTAATTAAAAAAATTCTATCGAAAAAATTAACACAAATTGTTTTTAAATTTTATGTACTTACTGCCCTTTTTTCCACCAGTTGTCTACAACTATTTGTTTCAAACTTAGAGGATTTGCTCAATATACTTATTGATACAAGTGAATGAACTTTTGCAATTGTCATATTTTCCTTAAACAAAATTTTTCTTGGGGTTGATAAATATTATACAAAAGTGTTAATACCTAAAGATCAAAGGGCAGGTGCCTTTTAAAATATTTCGTGTACTGAACTTTTAAAACAACCGAAGGTTGACGATATGTGCATCTTACGATATATGTGTGTTATGTTTACTTTGGCGCTTAAACCGATGTCTCGAGCTTCTCCTTGTCAAAGACTGATCCTCCACAAAATTTATTGTGATCCCGATTGACATGATTTATGCGAACACAAAACACTATTAATTACAGAAGCGACGTAATTTTATTTATCTAAACTTATTTAAGCCATTATGTTTGTCAAGTTAACTTTTTTTCAGTTGCAAACTAGACCAACTGAAGCGAAACAGAATGTGGAAGATGATTCAGTGGTAATATTTAGGTGAATAGAAGAGAACATAGTTAAACAAAAATTTATATATATATATATATATATATATATATATATCCTGTGTATATTGATTTCTTATACACTTTAAAATCAACAAGGCTTCGTTTATAACAACGGATATTTATATATTTCACTCGGCCAATTCCTGTACCAGTTGCCAAAACATTGAAACGGTTGCTCCAATGTGTCCCATTGCTAAATGACATTTCTTTGTATTGTGAAAATATACGTTCACAAAATGTTAAATTTTAGAGTCGATTATAAATCACTCAATCAAGCTCCCCGAAAACAACTTTTGGCTAAGTTCGATTTTTTTCGTTCCTCAGCAAAAACAATTGGCTTCACCAAGCTACGCGGAAATAAAGTACCTTGCACTGTATTACATAAAAATAATTGTGCAGGTGAGTTTGTAATGCTTGTGGGTTAAATAATTAAACAATGGGTAATTGAATATTTTACTGAAATAAACAGCTAACTACTTTTGACTGCTTCAAAAACGTTTTAGTCAGTGGAAATTGCATATTAATCGAGGGTCAGGTGAGAGCATGTGTTTCGCAAGTAACAGCATTTTGTGAGAATAGTTTTTTAAATGATGCATAAAATTAGTTTTCTTAGAAATAAGTATTATTTACTACTGATATTGGTACTAAATTATATATATATGTATATATATATATATATATATATATATATAGGACGTTGTATATATATATATTTATATATACAACGTCCAACACGCTAATGGACATTAATAGTGCACTTTTATTTTGTAAAACAAACATGAATTGTATATAATAAAAACAATTATTTTTAATTATAAATAATTATTTACAGTATTTGTTATGCTTGATTTATTATTCACCATTTATCAAACAAACATCTCATGCTAATACTACAAAAATCAACATCTTCCGAGTTATTTTTTAGAAACTTTAACAATATACAAACATTCTCAATTTATTCAAAATTATTATAAAATTATATGACTATATAATTTTTTTGCCTGAAGTTTTTAAACATTGTTGAAATTAAAAAAAATGTATGCAAGATAATGAATAACCTAATTATTATAAATTCATAAGAAGAGCTAGGGTTTATTGTAACTGTTTTTTTCTAATTTAATATATTTTGAGATCTACTGATTATATTTTTATGAAATGAAGATGAGTAGATGCTATAACTATTCCCATACCGAAACCAATACAACTATTTTGTAACTATTGCTTAATATTTCACAATTATACATTTTCGGTGTTACAACTTATTCCGTGTAGAGGCTAGTTATAACATCTTTAGGGGCAAGTAGTAACGACAAAAAATGTCTGATAAATTATTCTTTTTGAAAAAATTGACATGTTGGCTAAGTAATTCTTTTCATAAATCAACGTAAACTTCATAAAAATTATTATCATAAATCGAAGTAAACTGCAATTAATACAAATAAAAGATATAGTGTCTCCTGTAAAACAATTTACATATGCCCATAGCTTTACTACTTTTATAGTGGGAAGTCCAGTAACGCCGGACGGCACCAAGCACCGGACACTCTATTTAACACGTATTATTTAAGCGAGTATAATTTTTTTCATTTCAAAATACTAGTGAATGGGGCATGGGGGGAACTAAGGTACAGGATCACTCGCCAAGCCTCGCCTGTGATAATTAATATTAATATAACTACTGCCCCCCCCCCCTAATATTGATTAACCACTAGCTCCCCTAATATTGAAATTTAATTATTGTTTAAAATATTTGGAACCAAAAAATTTTTGATTATATTTATGTATGTTTTCAAAGATTATACTTGGAATACTAAAAGCTTTTACCAGTGTTAAGACAAAAGTTTTTCCAGAATTGTTCAAAAGGTTACAAATTTTTATTATATTCTCCTCTGCAAGAACGACATCTTTTTCAATTTTTGGTATTTTTCAACCAGGACTATCTTAATAATAATCTTGTCATTATTTATTTTCGTCTTTATATCAATGTGTAATAGATGTATATTAATGATTTTGAATATCCTGAAACAAATATTTTATTTTAAATAAAAAGCTTAGAGAAAACTTTACATTTTGAGTTTGTTTACATGTTAAATCATATCGGTTTAAGTCAATAAAGTGGCAAGAGACGCGACGGAGAAAGAACCGCGCCGTATCCTCCCCTTCATTCTGATGATAAGATTGATGATCGTGTAATGGAATGATGAAAACTGTTCAAATGCCTGAGAATAACATTCGTACTTCAGTCGCTCCCTTTTTCGGCTTACATAAACTTCCATGCACAATTGAAAATAACTGTTACTCTGTCATTAAAATTATATTGTAGAGTAAACGAAATATAAAACCATTATAGAAGGTTCCAAACCTAACTTCACGTATGTGTTATCAAAGAGACATCAGGAAATTTTACTTATGATACAATTATTATTCTGACAATAGTGACTTTTGGAGGTTAGGTTTTACGTGTAAAACGCCTAATCGCTCAGCAAATACATAGCTTTTTGACAGTTTGGGAGTACTAAAACCATGGATTTTAGTAATAACAGTATTGAAAATATGAATTTGTTATGAAACTTTTTTTTCAAGCAATGATGAATAATGATTGTCAATTTATTTATTATTAATAAAATTAGATTATCTATCTCTACTCTAAATGCGAAATAATAATTTAGAGGACTCTATCTCTCATCGTCAGTAAATAATAATAATAAAAAAAGGATATCTTCAATTTCTTATTGTATTTTAGCAGTAAAAGCATTATAAATTAAATAGGATATAACATTTTACATGACTCTATCTCTCATAGTTGTTTTTTCTCTGGAATTAAAAGAATAAAAATTTAAGTTAAACCAAACAATAAACTGTAAATACTTAACGATTTCTCCAGAATAAGTTTTTGTGCTGAAATATATCTTAATTTGAATTTGTTCTTTCTAAATATGGAAATAATAAAATGGGTCGCAATTTTGATTCTATCAACGTATACACAGTATTTCAAATTATTTAGTTATAAAATTCAGAAAGTGCTTTTAAGTCAGTCAGACTTTACTTGATAATTGTAAATAATTGAAGAGTTTACTGTTTTTTTATTAATCTGCTATAGTCTTTTAATTGATAGGACTTTTGTAGTATAAGTTATAAAACTTTTACTGACTTATAGATATTTTTTAAAACTAAAATGAAACTATTCAAAATTGAATCAAATTTTATATGTTCATAGTAAATAATGACAACTATAAAAACGATAATATTAAAAGTCTTAAAAGTAATTAAAAATTCAAAAATGTAAGAATAATATTTTACAGATGAGATAAGTTGTAACATTTTGAATGATTCTGAATGTTTTTTGTTAAAATGCTGTCGAAGGCTTTTAAAATTCTAAAAACTGATAAATTTTCAAATATTACAAAAACATATCAAATTTTTAAGAATATACTAATATAACAACTTATTATGTTTGAAATCTAGGATCAACGATAGGGATATGCCTCAGAAAAAGTATGTATGTACAATTCAATATTTTATTCGTGGAATGCGTTTTGCGAAACACGTGTAAAAATATATTTGATTAAGCAAGAATATTTTGGAAATTAAATCACGTTTTATATATTATTTTAATCGCTTTCGATATTAATTGCGTAGTATTAATTCGAAACCTTATCTGGAAATCTTTCACATACATAATTTAACTTACAGAAATTTCGACGCTCTTACGTAAGTCAGATTAAACAAACACGATGGGAGCATGTCAGTTATTTTTTTTGCGATTGCTACTGATTAAATTGTTTTAAAGTGCTTGCTAAATTTAGCTATTACATATTCGAATTTGAATATGTAGAAACTAATCACTATAGATTACAAACGGTTATAAGGTAATATAAAGGGCAAAACTTTCAATGAATGCGATTGATTAGGTATACGTTAAGAAAAAATATTCCTGCGAACATTTTTCTTTTGAATTACTATAACGTTTTATAAATGTATTTAATTATTAAATTAAAAAAATAAAATGAATATATATAAAAAAATATTTATTTTTGTATATGTTAATGTGGAGTATCAGTCAGTGATTATATAATTGTACCTACATCTATATATTAAATAAAAATATTAATAGGTTCTATAAAAATCATTGCTACAATAATAATAATGCTTAGTACTGCCCTAGGGCAGGTCCGTGAGCTGAGTTAAACTCTAACTTGATTCAGGGAAGAATAGTGTGAGAGATTTTTCATTACCTTTTTGCCATTTCAATACCTTTTTGATATATATTTTCAAGTGAAAATGGACATCGCTACTGCACGATATCATATAATCCGAAGGTTCGAACATTCCTATATAAGTTTTAAATTTTATATTTGTCAATTGACTCTAAAAATATCATATATATTTTGTTGATATATTACTTAACATATTTTAATTTATTAGACTAGTACACTAAATAATATATAATTTATCCCGAATCGTTTACCTAATGGATTAAGTTGTTGAATAATTTTATGATTCGGGTGAAGTATTATTAAAGCGTTGAAGTGGTTAATGTGGCTACTGTTACATATATAATACGAATTTTTTTAGAACAATTTACTGCAAGCACAGTACAAAATTCTAACAATATTAGATATTTATTTGTCAAACAATCAAAAAAAAAAACACTAAAATACGATACTGTTCGGCGCGTGTTACTTGACAGTTTGTCATGAAAACCGTGGCTTACACACGTTCAGGTTACATGACATCGATTGGGACATAAAATAGCGCTGTACCGAGACACCCAGTGTAAACCTACACTAGACATTATAAAAACACGAAATGAATACATATAAAACTAAATCAATCGAAGATTTAAAAGGTTTTTTTTATTTTGCACTCGCTTACTTAGAGCATTTAACCATATCTATAACTATTTTTTACTTCAGTATCTTTATTATATCATTTTCTATCATTATATATCCTATACTATCCAATTTTCTTCATAACTAATTTCTTCCATTCTGCTTTTCATTCTAACCTTGCTTCTTCTTCTAACTTCTAATTCTATTCTATTATGTCAACAATTCAATTTCTACTTAATTTGAAGCATTATCAACTTCTTTATTCTTCTCTCTCTTCTTAATTTGTTTCATATTCTATCTTCTAATTCTATCAAACTCCTATCTTCTTTTATGTCTTCATTCATCTTTTTATCTTTGCGTGTTCTAATCTAACTTACTCATAATTTAACACAACTATTCCAATTCTCACCTTTTCACTCGCGAATTGCGAGATTTATATGAAATTTGCCCGGCGGCATCCGAGTCGAAAGGGTTAGTTTTAACAATACAACTCAACAAATCAAATTCTATTTAATTTAAATTTACCTATTTTTAAAATTGTATGTCAACGACTGGATTCGATACGAA